AGCCGGCGCGCCGGCCGCGGGCGAGGCCAGGCGCGAGGATGGCAGCGGCGGCGGCGCCGCCGAGGCGACGGGGGCGTCGCGAGAGCCAGCGCACGCGGGAGCCATCCTCAAATTCTCCGCGCAAGTAGAGCCAACACGAATTTTCGGCGCCCATCCACAGGTGCTTCTGAATCGATGTCACCCAGTGCACCTAATCGGCAGCAACATTTTGTCTCCTGGTGCTCCATCGCGCGTTGTAGACTGTGCTATCGGTATGGCTAATGCTCCGGAAGATGGTCTACCTAGGATTATGTTTGGGGACTTAATATCAGCAGCAGGTCACCTTGTCTTACCCAAAGGAGATTTTAGGCTAATTTCATGGGAATCAAGGTTACCGCCTTACACACAATTTATTCACTTGGTGCACTCTGTTCCAAGCCGCCCCAATGGTAAAACCGAAACAACCTTGTCAGGGAAGAAGCGTCCAGGTCTATTTGCCTAATTTTTATGTAATGATGTATCCGTGCATTTGAGTAGTATTTTATGAGACCTTAGGATTTGTGCATCCAGTGAAGCATGCCAATTGAAGGCAGGTCGTAATTTTAATTTGTCTAGACCATCACACCGTGTTCGTCTCTCTTCAGGAAGGCTTGTTATGACAATATATGGCCTGAATAAAATGGGTATAAGAAATGAAAATGTCAGTGCATATAAATCCATCAGAAAAAGGTTAGTTCAGCAAATGCCCTTAATTACCAGCTAACCAAGTGAGAGCATACGTGCTAACCAAGTCACGCGACAAAACTCTAGGGCGTTGCCACTTGCCAGTTTCTAGTCGTATCTACCAGAAGAGAGAATGAATGCAAGGACCCAAAATTACTTGCAGTTCTTATAAGATGGGGAACCGTGGGCTGACCTCGGTGGCGCGGCAGGCCAGCAGGTTCACAGCGGCAGCTCTCCGGAGAAGGTGTTGGTGGCTTCACGGTCATACTCCCTCCGTTCCAAAATGAATGACTCAACTTTATACTAACTTTAGTAACGGAGGGAGTATCATCGAACACCATTCGGGCACAAGAGCGGAGCTGATTTCCCCGCATCCTGCCTTACTGGAGAGACAGATGGTTAATGAAAAACCGGGTGCAACAAAAAACGAACTTTTTCCAAGAGGTTTAATTTAATGAAATACTTTGTATGAAATGCAATACAAATGGTTCTTTGGATAAAATTCCTATGAGATAAAATCCGACAAATCAAACGTCATACACACACACACACACAAAATACATGTCATAAATACATGACTTCCTAGAAGGCTCGCATTCAATATTTTCTAACTTCCACTACAAATACATATCCAAAATTATTAATTATATTGATTGAATGAAAATGGTATTATTAAGTTTCAAAAAAGTAAAAATATAACATTCCATGATCAAAAGATATGTATTGGAGACCATGTCAATATTTGAATTATCTCTTTACAAACTGCGCGATAGTTGAGATTCCAACTCTACGAAATCCCCGTAGAAATTGCCGAATCAAAAGGCCTTACAAATGCACCGCTGCACGCTTCCTCCCAGACAGGGGAGTGCTCTGTTCCGCCGCACCTGGAGCACCATTTCCACTTGTAGTGAAATGAACAAACAAGGTGTAAGGCGGCAACCTTGATTCCCACACAACCACATTGAAATCCCCTTGTGGTCTAACTCCAGGATACATCACCAGATCCGCAAACCTCACCCACGGAAGCAATTCCCTTTCCACCGTAACTTCAGTGTGGCTGCTGCAACTGGTACAGGAAGCCACGACCCGGAGTGGAGAATCCATGGGATGTACTCCCTCCGTTCCTAAATGTAAGTCTTTGTAGAGATTCCACTAGGTGGACTACATACGGAGCAAAATGAATGAATCCACATTTAAAATGCATCTATATACATTCGTATGTAGTTCATAGTGAAATCTCTACAAAGACTTATAGTTAGGAACGGAGGGAGTAAGACCAAGTCAGTAACGTCTATCTGGCGGCGTCTCCGGGCGAGTAGCTTCGGGTGCTCCCCAAACAGGGATAAGTTCCTCTCGACTACCCTTCTCAGCCCGCTCAGGATGCAGAGCCAGAAATGGACGCTGAGGTTCCTCCTCATGATGTCCGCAAACGGATTTGCAGTGCCGATTGACCATTCGGATTGGAATTCCCTGGCCAGCTCGTCTGCTATCCGCGCTAACCGTGGGTGCTGTGCCGGGTTCGCACTCCCAAATGCTAGTGTCTTGAATAGGTAGCTGAACTCCTCGTATGACAGGGTTTTGAGGAAGATTGGCTCAACGGTTCCGAGTCGCTCTGAATTTTTAAGGCGGCTGATGATGATCACCTTGCTTCCATTATCCATGCTTGTTGCTACTGCTGAACAGAACTTGCCCCAATCCTCCTCGTGGACGTCTGAAACAAGCTCGACAACCACCAGTATACTTCCTGACATGAGACTACCATGTTCTGCGATTCTACCCAAGGAATCTCCATTCAGATGCAGAATCGAAGAGAAGTGTGACTGGACCCTCTCGTCCTTGCATACATGGGCGACCAGAGTCCTCTTTCCGACCACTGGAGCGCCAATGATCGGAAGAACAGCCGGCACACCGCCAGGATGGCCGTGCTGCAGCATGAAGTTCAGGAGTTTCTACTTCTCGGTGTGGCGTCCGAACATGATCTTGTCACTGAAAAGGTACGCTTCGTACGGTCGACGCAGCATACGGTCGCATCCGCCCAAGAGAACGACAAACTCCATCATGCCGGCGACGACATCCTCCAAGCTCTCCAACGTGCCTTGCAGCTCAACAAGGTGCATGGCCCTGTTCTTTCTAGCAATACTATTAACCGTGCGAAGGCGTTTGAGAGGAGATGGTTTGAGATCCTCCCCCTCCTCCTCCCCCATAGTAGTGGTCTCTTCCAGTGAGATGTAGTTGGACGCACCTAGTGCCCAGTAGCCTCGGTACATGGCGTCCGCAAGCATGGTGAGCTGCGCCAGCATCCCGGAGTTGGTTATGTATCGCCCATCCGCCTCCTCGACAACCGTGTGAGCTCTCAGGAGCAGCTGCTGCAGCTTCTTCAGCTGCTTCTCTCCCGACTGTGGACGCCGGCTCGAGTGGTACCTGTCGGCGAGGTAGGAGACGAATCGGCTCACGAGTTCACCTGTCACTGCAGATATGGCAAGCTCCATCTTGAGTTCCTGCAAGCGAAGAGTACTAACTAACCAGGAATCCAACAGAGCAGAGGGCAGGAGGCTGGTGGAAACTTATCCATCACCGGTTGCGTTGTGAACCACTCCACCTCCAGGCTCTAGCCTGTGAAAGAATGCCCTGGAAGGGCAGCTCAGCTGTTCTTTTCATGCACCATGGAAAGATGATGGCGACTTGGGAGTCATTTGCTTTGCTCAGCAACTTTCCTTGACCATGCTCCTCTCTTTTCAGGAAGGCTTGTTGTGGCAAAAAACAGCTGAGGTGTGCCCTTCCAAGCCTGCAGCTACGGCAAGCTCCATCTAGAGTGTCAAGAAATAAGATTCCACAATGATCTAGAGTGGCCCTGGAAGTGCACATCAGCTGATCTTTTCATACACCATGGAAAAATCATGTTGACTTTGGAGTCCTTGCTTTGCTCAGCAAGTCAGTATGGCAATATGGCTAAGGGTCATCCTTATCTATTCTTGTTCTCTCTTCAAGAAGGCTTGTTATGGCAATACCGAAAAAGGCTTTCGCCCCGCTTTATATTATAAAGCACATGCCTAAGCCAACAATCCACAAAGGTTCACCCACACGCAGACGCACACACACCAAGTTTACACACGGACATGATCCACAAGGGTTAATGCTGAGGGCACAGCTCAACAAGCCCTAGAACAGAAAAGTTATGGCAATATGGCCTGCATAAAATAGGTATAGGAAATATAAATACAAGGGCATAAAAGTCCATCAGAAAAGGTTTGCCTCAGCCAACCAAATGCCCTAAATTACAAGCTAACCAGGTCAGGTGACAAAAGAATTATGCCCTTTACTAATAGTAGTACACAAGTACTAGACTACTAGTGGTAACAAAGGGCAAGCTTTTTCAGATAGGGTAAACAATGTCACAGGTCCTAACTAGTAGAAGATAAAATGAAGTGGAATTTACTCCTTTTTCCTCGACACGTCTTCAAATGAAACTAATTAAGCAAGTTGGAAATGAAGATATTGACAATTGAATGTATTACCTTAGGCAGACGGCAGTCTAGAAAACCAAGTATGGCAAAGAACACCTTGACGAATTGCATCCAGCAAGCTGAAAGCTCAGGATCTTGACTTGAAAGTTTCCTCGCATATCATAGTCGTTCTTTTAACTGTGACTAGAAAGTGAACGTGAGACACTGTAGCTGACCAGGGCACCAGGCGAGTTTATTGACCGGAATATCGGTGGCATATACTCTGTAGAGTATATCAATGACTTGTACCATGCGTCTGTATAAACTGCATCTTTTTGCACTCATACGCCACCTAGCTTAGAGCATCTAAAGATGGATCTTGCCATATCAGCTATCACAGGCGATCTGGCTAATCGAATCATCTCTTTTCTGATGAGCAAGTATACGGATCACGTATGCTCGGAGGAGAAGGTGGAGAGGCTACAACAACTCTTGCTGAGAGTCGGCATGGTCGTCGAGGAGGCGGACTCGCGGTACATCGCCAACTCCTGCATGCTCATACAGCTGAAGACGCTGGTGGTAGCCATGTACCAAGGCCACCATGTGCTTGATACCATCAAGTACAGGAAACATAAGGAATTGGTATGTGACTCATCGGCACTATCTATTTCCACTCCTAACAAACGTCCTCGCACGATCGTCAGTAGTGCATCATACAAGGTTTTCAACTCAGGGCTAATAAGAGCTCTGCAAAACCTAGAGGCTGGTGTTGCAAACATGGCGGAGTTTGTCGCCCTTTTGGGCGGATGCGAGCGCATCTCCCGTAGACCCTATGATGCATATCTTTACGTCGACAACTTCATGTTTGGTCGCCATGTCGAGAAGCAGCAGATCATCAGGTTCTTGCTGCACCACAACACCCCAGGTTCTCCGGCCGTGCTTCTAATCATTGGTGATGCTGGAGTTGGGAAGAAAACTCTTGTCGCCCATGTATGCGATGTTGATAGAGTGCGTTCTCACTTTTCTATGATTTTGCACCTGAATGGAGATGATCTTTCCAAAATGACAGACCATGAAAGACTGTCAGGGAGGATATTAGTAGTTGTTGAGTTTGTTTCAGATGTAGATGAAGATGACTGGATAACATTCTACCATTTAATTATGAAGATGGACAGAGGAAGTAAAGTGATAATCTTGGGTCGAAGCACATGCTTGGAGAAGTTTGGAACCATCAAGCCTGTTTCTCTGAACTCCCTGGCATTCGATGAATACATGTACCTGTTCAAGACACTCGCATTCGGAAGTACGAACCCGGCAGACTACCCGCGGCTAGCAGCAATGGTGGAAGAGTTCGCCATGGTGTTGGGAGGGTCACTCATCTCAGCGAATGTGCTCGCAGATGCACTGCGGAAAAACTTGAGTGCTCATTTCTGGCTGTGCAGGTTGAAGGGTGCCAGAGACTCTGTCAACATGAACATCTCTTGTTTTGGTGCCCACCCGCAGGTGCTTCTTAGTCGAGGCCAACCGGTACACCTAATCAACCGAGGTCACTCAGTGCACCTAATCGGCCGCTACATTTTATCTCCTGCTGCTCCATCAGGCATTGTAAACTCTGCTATTGGTATGGCTAATGTTCCAGAGGAGCAGGGTATTGGTCTACCTAGGATTATGTTTGGGGACTTAATATCAGCAGCAGGTCACCTTGTCTTACCCGAAGGAGATTTTAGGCTAATTTCATGGGAATCAAGGCTGCCGCCTTACACTTCATTTTCTCACTTGGGGCACGCTGTGCCGAGTTGCGTCCATGACAAGCCGGAAACATCCTTGTCACGGAAGAAGCGTCCAGGTTTATTTGCCTAATTTTTATGTAACAATTGGTCTATTTCAGTACTATTTTGTGAGATCTTAGGAGTTGTGCATGTGAACTGAAAGGCGGGTCATAAATATGTAGACCATCAGACAACGTTCTTCTCTTTTAAGGAAGGCTTGCGGTGGCAGCCTGCATAAAATGGGTATATAGAAATGAAAATGCCAGTGCGTAGAAATCCATCAGAAAAAGGTTTGTTCCAAACGCTCTTAATTACCAGCTAACCAAGTGAGAGCGTATGTGCAAGAACCCTTAATTATGCAGGCAGCTAAAGTTGTATCGAGGTGCTACTTGCCAGTATCTAGTCATGTCTAACCAGCAGAGAGAAGCAATGCAAGAACCTCTGGAAGGAGCGCAATGCAAGATGTTTCCACGACAAGCCCTCATCCTCAACGGTGATCTCAATTGTGGCGGCGATCACCCGTGACTGAGACCTCTGGAGGCTGGCTGGAGCGCGGTGCCTTGAAACCCCTCTCGGGGATCCAGGATGAGATTATAGCATATTTTCAAGTCCCGACCCTGTCCCCCAGGGCCTGTAAGTTCCGGTTTTAAACTCATGCTACTACCCACGCTGTCGCGATAACTTGATCACGGTAGTAACGCCTTTGTTCCGCTCTCTTATGCTTAATATATGAAAGCCAGCAACTGCTGGATCTCTCAAAAAAAAAAACCAAAATTACTCGCAGCATTCTTACAAAATGGGGAACCCGTATGCTGACCCCGGTGGCACATCAGGCCAGCATGCTCACATCATCAGCTCTCCCATGGTGTTGACGGTCTCACGATCATTTCTTAGAATACCATTCGGGCACCAGAGCCGCCCCACCTCCCCCCAGCATCCTGCCTTACTGGAGACAGAGGAAGTGACACACAGTACAATGGTTGATGAAAAATCGAGTGCACCAAAAGTACAAATTTTTCCAAGAGGCTTAGGTCACTGAAAAACTTCCTATGTAATGCAATACATAGATAAAATTCCTAAGAGACAATCTTACAAATTAAACATCTTACACACACAAAATACAGTTCATAAATACATGACTTCCTAGAAGGTTTCCATGATTAAAAGATATGTATTGAAGACCATGTAAATATTTAAATTATCTATTTGTAAACTGAGCAAATACTTGAGATTCCATCTCTTCGAAATCCCTGTAGAAGGCGTTCAAATCAAAAGGCCTTACAAAGGCACCGCTGCACGCTTCCTCCCAAACAAGGGAGTACTCTGTTCCACCACACCTGGAGCACCATCTCCATTTGGAACAAAATGAACAAACGAGGTGTAAGGCGGCAATCTTGATTCCCATGCAACCACATTGAAATCCCCCTGCGGCCGAACTCCAGGATCCATCACTAGATCCCCAAACCTCACCCTTGGTAGCAATTCCCTTTCCGTCGTAATCTCAGTGCGGCTGCTGCCGCTGGTGTAGGAAGGCACGACGTGGAGCGGAGAAGCGGCGGGATGCAAGACGAAGTCCCTAAGATCTATATGGTGGTATCTCTGAACGAGGAACCTCGGGTGCTCCCCAAACATGGAGAGGTTCCTCTCAACGACCCTTCTCAGCCTGCTCAGCATGCTGGCCCAGAAACAAACGTTCAGATTCCTTCTCATTAAGTCTGCAAATATGTTCGCAGCGGTGAGGGACCATTCCGAATGGAATTCCCTGGCCAACTTGTCTGCTATCCACGCTAACCGCAGGTGCTGTGCCGGATACCTGAACTCCTCGTATGACAGGGTGCTGAGGAAGATTGGCTCCACTGTTCCAAGTCGCTCTGTACTTTTAAGCCGGCTGATGATGATCACCTTGTTTCCACTGCCCATGCTCGCCACAAATGAGCAGAACTTAGCCCAATACTCCTCCTCCACATCTGAAACAAGCTCAACAATTACTAGTGTCTTCCGTGACATGATACTACCATGGTCTGCGATTCTACTGAAGGAATTTCCACTCAGGTACCGAACTGAAGAGAAGTGTGAGCTGAACCTCTCGTCCTTGCATACATGGGCAACCAGAGTCCTCTTCCCGACTTCAGAAGCACCGATGATCGGAAGGACAGCCGGTGCACCACCACCAGGAGTGTTGTGCCGCAACATGAAGTTCAGGAGCTTTTGTTTCTCCGTGTGACGTCCGAACATGATGTTGTCGTGGTATAGATACGCATCGTATGGTCGACGCAGAATACGGTCGCATCCATCCAAAAGAACAACAAACTCCGTCATGCCAGCGACTACATCCTCCAAGCTCTCCAACGCGCCCTGCAAGTCGACGGGGTATGTGGCCTTGTTCTTTCTAGCACTTCCATGAACCATGCGAAAACGTTTGGGAGCAGATGGATTGCGAACCTCCCCCTCCTCCTCAATGGACTCTTCGAGTGAGATGTACCTGCACGCACCTAGTGCCCAGTAGCCTTGGTACATGGCATCCGCAAGCATCCTGAACTGCACCAGCATCCCGGAGTTGGTGATGTACCGCCCGTCTGCCTCCTCGATGACCGTGCGAGCTTTCAGGAGCAGCTGCTGCAGCCTCTTCAGCTGCTTCTCTTCCGAGTGTTCGTGGCTCGAGTGGTACTTGTTGGTAAGGAAGGAGATGAATCGGCTCATAAGTTCACCTGCTGCTGCAGATATGGCAAGCTCCATCTTCAAATCCTCC